CCCCCCCCGGTCTCTCATGGAATGGCACGAAGGGGTGCACAGGCCAAAAAAGGCCGGCAACAGCGAACGGAGCCATCAATAGACTCACTCGTACGCACAGCCGGGCAGACAGACAGGCAGGGATACAGGCAGACAGACAGGTACAGCGTGCCTCTTTATCTGCCCGGCCCACTTACACCGCAATACATCCATCCATCCATCTCTCCCCTCTCAGCCCAGCCCAGCCCAGCCCAGCCCAGTATGGACACCACGAACAGACCAGGGCCCTGACTGACTAGCGGTACGGTACCTGCCGCCCGACCACCTGGCTGGCACGTAGTTAATACGGGCATGTATGTATTGTGGGTATGCACGGCACGGACCACCATGCCATGCCATGCAGTACGCACGCAGATGAGATGAGGAAGTGGGTAGGAGGGGAGGGCAGGGCAGAGCACACAGCTACGCAAGTGTGCATGTGGAGGTGGACGGATGGATGGTGGGGGGATGATGGGTGGATATGGGGATAGGTGTCCAGTACACATGAGCAGATAGCGGTCGGTCAACGGGCATTCAATCATCATCATCAGCAGCATCAGCCGCCTGGCCGGCCCTGTCTGCCGTCGTGTCGCGCCGAGCGATTATCGACCCAGGGCGCACTCGATCCACACGGCATGGCATGCAGGCACACATGGCAGCACGGCAGCACAGCATATCGACAAACAAAAGACCCACCCTGCAGCCAGCACACTCTCACGCCAATGCATCCATTCAACTCACCCACCCACCCACGCCTCATCTCAACCAAAGCACAAAAGCGGTCATCCACACAGACGCAATCATACAATCCAATCCACGCATTGCAATCACTCGAACCAAAAACGGCATAAGGGTCCAGTCAAGTCAAGTCAACAGCCTGCCCTGCCCTGCCACACAGCCAGGCCAGTAGCCCTCCTCGACTCTCCGCCCCTCAGGCACAGACATCCATCCACGTTTGGTCCTCACGAGTGAGTGCAGGCAGCACCATCAGCAGCAGCAGCCCACGAGACAGGTCGGTCCATCCATCCACGCAGCACCACATGACTGATACCTCACCTCACCGCAGCACCGCACTACGGGAAATGAACCATCGTCGGCCGGTCGGACATGCCAGGAAAGTCACTCATTCAGCCATCCATCCATTCGATCAGTCAGGCATACATGCGAAATCACCCATGTGATGTGTGGTTTGTCTGTACGCGTGTGTAGGGGAGAGTGCGGCAGTTGAGGGCCATCTGAGAAAGAGACAGCCGCCAACCACGCCTGCCGGTAGATGTATGCAATCAAGCCATTTCAGAACGAGAAAATGCGATGAGTGGAAATCATAGGGCATCCATCCATCCATCCGCCGGCCAGACATCCATTCGTACATCCATCCAGAATAGAGGCCAAAACTGACGCCAGGATTGCTTGATTTAGCCGAAGAGACAGACAAAAAGAGCCTACCCGCCGTCCTGTCTGTCTGTCTGTCTCCTTTTCTTTCCTTGTAGACATGTGTACACACACACGTGTGTGGGCAGGCGACGAGGGAGGGCTGCAGGCAGGCAGTCTGGCATTCCTTCATTCTTTCACGCACAGCACATGCATTCTTGCATCATGTCTGACATGTCCGCCACGGGAGGGGGGAGAGGAGGGGGAAGGGGGAGGGGAAGGGGCATCAAGGCAGTAAGAGAGCCAGTCAGTAACCAGTCAGCAACCAGTCAGTCGAGTCGAGTCCACGACGCACAATCAACGAACTGAACCAGCGAGGACTATTCCCTCCTACGGTACACATCACATGCACACCTTTCGACGTGCACGCTGAATTACAGACAGCATCAGCAGCGACACAACACAACGCAACGCAACACACCATGGCCAGCAGGAGGAGAGTGGGAGCGAGACGCGAGAAAAATTGGGTGGTGGATGTGATGGACCCGCACACACCCAATCCGATGCACCAGGCCGAGATAGAGAGCGACGAATGGCGAACAAACCAACAAAGTTACAAACAACGCACAATAGGGTCCTATTGACTCCTACAGACAGAGAGAGAGAGAGCACCCCACTTACAAGCAACCACCCAGCTGTCTGGCCGCCTGTGTGTCGGTCGACATGCACAGACAGACACAGACAGACGCCGGCCGTGATATGAGAGAGAGAGAGAGAGAGAGAGGGGCGGAAAGCAAAAGAGAGTGTGCGGTGAGGGTTGCGGGACAGACAACGCAAGGGGTGGAGGGTCTATGTGGTGTGTGTGACACAACTATCTAGATAGACGAACACGGGGGGAGGGAGAAGATACACAATCGGAAAAACCACCCTGCCTGGACACGTGCGGAAAAATGGGTCGCTCGCTTCCTTGCTCGCCGTACACCGACCGCACTGCACACACGGGTGGGTGCGACTGTCTGGCCTCTCCTGTCTGTCTGTCTGTCAATCTATCTTGCTCTGTTGAAATAAGACACAGCTAAAAAGGCTCGCATGTCTCGCAATGGCTCGGTCGCTCGCTCTCACAGCTCTTTGTGTGGGTGATACGATATGCCTACACATTATACGTACCGACCAATGATAGATGAATGCCCACACCACACCACACCACACCGCACCTCACGCATACACACAAGTGATATGTATATAGATCGACGCCCCCCCGCACGACAAATGAATAGCATGCAGTCAGTCATCCAACTACACTACGGACCCACACACGCACCTCCGCTCCTCATTCATTCATGCAGGAAGTACATGACATGACACGCAGTGTAGTGTAGTGTAGAGTAGCACATATGTACACATGTGCTCATGTAATGCAGATTGTATAAACCATCACTTCACGTACACACACACACACACACACATGGCATGGACGTCGGTCAGTCAGTCAGTCAGTCACCAGGTGTCGGTTACAAAACGATCCTACCACATCAGGCAGCGCAGCAGGCAGACAGGTCGACAGGCAGACACTCTATCCTTGCTACACATCCACTTGCGATCGGTCGGCATCCATCCATCCATCCATGCGATTGATTATGTACATTACATCATCGTCAGTCACTCACTCGTCGTCGCACTCGTCCACCCGTGTCAGCACCACCGACAGCGGCCTGCTGACTTCCATGGCCCGCTTCAGGGCGGCCGGGGACACCCTTGCTCGCCCCCGGCCGCCGGCGAATGCCACACAGGAGGTAAAGACGTCGTGTGCACTGGGCCACTCGACGCGCCTCAGGTCCTCCTGCAGATGGGCCGTGGAGATCATCAGCTGGTCGTTTGGCTCGTGTGTGGGGCACCAGTCAGAGGTAAAGCGCTGCAGACAGAAAGAGGGTTGTCACAGTGGGGTTGGTTGATGGTGGCTGCATTGCATTGCATGTGTGTGCGTGTGAGGATTTTCGGTTGAATGCCTACCTGTATGAGTGGCATGAGTGGGTAGAGAGGTGATGCCGCGCCCCTCTTCTTGATGGTGGCGAGGAAGTGGTCCATCGAGACCTGCTTCAGCGGCACTCCCAAGTCACCAAACCAACGCTCTCGGTCAGAACTGATCACACAGAGACAGAACATACATACATACATGTCGCTCTCGGTGTTGCCTCTAGTGTGTGGTGTAATGTGTCCGTACTTGGTGATGAGCTGGGGGTTGGCGAGATGGTAAACCCAATGGCTTCGGTTCTCGGTCAGACACAGCCGGGCCTGCACACACACACACACACGTGCAGAAAGCAAAACGAACGAATGCATCCATCCATCCACTCACTCAGGCACACATAACATACCCCATCTCCCTCACTCCCCGCCTCCCCTCTCACCATCATGGCAGCGATGACATCCACGGGTGTCGCCAGAGGCGCCCTCACGACGGGCGGCATCTCCCCCTCCTCGAGCATGGCCATCATCAGCGCCCCGCCCACATCCTTCTCGTCCACATAGCCCGTCATCAGGCTGGTCATGCCGCTTGGCACTCGGTAGATGGTGCACGGCAGGCCCCTTGCCCGCGCCTTCTTGAGCACCTGCTCTGTCGACCAGTTGGTCCATGGGAGGCCGAATTGCTCCGGTGGGCAGACCTCGCGCAGCCGCTTGGTGTCGAGTGTGGTGGCCTCGCGGAGCTCCTTGCCGTGGCCCAGGACGTAGTCGGGGAAGAGGGTGAGGGACGAGACGAAGTGGAGGGGCTTGAGCTTGCTGGTGGTGCACAGCCGCACGATCTCCTTCATCGCAAAGGTGTTCTCGCGGAGGCGGTCGTAGCTCTGCATGAACGACTGGCCGTTGATGAAACCCGTGTGGAAGACCAGGTCGATCCGCTCGCACAGCTCAGCGAAGAAGTACTCAGCCAGGTGGTTGGGCTTGAGCCCCAGGTGCCGCCGCGTCACGTGGCCAGGCACGATCATCAGCCGACTCTGGTACTCGTCCTTCCAGATGCCCGCCTCCTGGCAAGCCTCACGCACCTGCCGCAGCCCCTCGTCCTCGCTGTTGGCCTGCACTAGGCAGTGCACCGTCAGCCGCTCCTTGGTCTGCAGCAGCGCCACCGTCACGAACCGGCCCACTGCTGATGTGGCGTCCGTCACGAGCACGTGTCTGCTCTTGCGTGGTGGCTGTGGGGCGGGGAGAGAGGCGACGTCGAACTTGAAGCTCTTGGCGACCTTGTGGACGTCCGTCTCGGGGTCCCTCTTTTTGCTGCCGTCGTCCGTCGCGCTGACGCCGCTGCTGTCGGGGTAGGTGGCGCCGTCCCTGTGCCCCGAGAAGGGGGCGATGGGCTCCATCATTCCCTCCTGCTCACGCTTGCCCACCAGCTGGCCAGCCAGAGCGTCCAGCGAGGGGTTGTCGAACATAGACGAGGGCGGCAGGTCGATGCCCGTCATCCGCCGCACATGCTCCCGGAACTCGGTCATGCCGATCGAGTCGAGACCCAGGTCGAGCAGTGTGCAGGAGGGCGACGGCCGCTCCTCCCCACCCACCACCGAATGAGCGACGGACACCAGCGCGTCGGCCAGGGCAGTCTTGCCGGTATGGTTGGTGAATGACGGTCGGAACGAGTCGGTGGACGAGGTGGGCTGCACGGAGGACGGACAATGGGTGGAGAGGAAGCTGGAGGGAGTGAGGGTGGAGAGGGACCGCGCCGAGGCGTCCGTGAAGACCGACGGGGAGGACGCGTTGCGGGGCGCGTACTTGGCGCTCTTGACGGTGTCTGCTGGTGCTGCTGCCGTGCAGAGGTCTTCGCACCACA